GTCAGTGGTCAGCGGTTGCAGAGGGATGCTACCGCAGACCGTTTCTGTCCACCCAGCGTGCAGCTACTGTACGCCACTGAGCGTCACGGGTTATCGCTGTCTGCGGCTGAATCCTTTACTGCTGGCTGCTGCTGATTGTTGCTGTCTCGGCCCGCCGGCGGCGGCCGGCTCGGCGGAGCGTAACGTACTGCTGGGTGAGTGACCGAGGTCGACCCGACCCAGCCCGACCAGCCCGGCCCGGCCCGGACGGGCTGCTTTGGGCCGGGTGGGCGCTGCCGCTGATCACTGATCAGACAGGCGTTGTTCAAGTAACTGTTAACCCTTGCTGCTGCTAGGACTAGCTGGCTGGATGCCGCCGTCTCAGCTGGACGCTGGGCGGTGCCAGCCGTAAGCCGTTTAGCCCCAACCCTGCAAAGCCACATACTTCCGTGTGGTGTGGCGGTCACTGGTGACGAGGTAAACTCCTGGTTACATGGCAGCGCTAGTTCATTATCCGGAAATGATCACGACAGCTGCACTAGTCGCTACGGAACTTGTCGAAGCTTACACAGCGTGCACCGGATATCCTTCCCTTGCTCGCATCTAGTCGATGAGCTTGTGCCGTAAGGGTAACCTGCTAACGGAAGCTGTCTCCATGTATCTATGAGACTGACGTGCTGCGCTGCTAAGACCCGCTCTCGCTGTTGTAGACACTAAGGACAGACGTCGTTCACAACCACCCGGAACGCTACCGAATGGCTCCCGCGACCGGCCGTGTCGATAGGAGTGATTGTGTCATCTGGGACCATTGCGAATGCATGGCTACAACGCTGGGTTGTTAATATGGATCAGGCATGCATGCTGAGAAACCGGTCTGTCCTGTTGACCAGCACGTGTGGACATTATCCTGAAACCATAGTTATCCGGGTGGCACCGGGCTGTGAGCTAGAACACTGCTCCAGGAGAAACGAAGTAATGCAACGCGGAAATGGCGCAAGCCGCTATCATAATAACCACTCGGCGAGGTAACTGGTGTGGCGATTTTACAACAATGATGAGTTGCATCATGCAGCTCGTGTCGCTTGGTACGAACTTTCCTTATTACATTCATATCTGATGTGAGATTAAGTTGTGGATGCTGACGCAGTTTCAGAACGCTGACCCTGCCGTGGGTCTAGCTTATAGCCGACCTCGTAACCCGATCTAACCCAGTTTGATCGGCGTCTGTCGGCACCCTTCTCCCCTCCCCGCTCTGTATTCTGCACGGTGCACGGACGGTTAACTGCAGCGCCGGCGGTCCTGCCAGCCGCCGGCCGGGTCGGGAGGGGACCCGGGAGGGGCCCCGCCACGGTGGACCGCCCGTGACCGGCTCTGGCAGCGCCTACGGGAATTGATTGGCCCTTTGTGCTGCCAGCGGTTATGAGATCACGGTTGGGTGGGGATGGGTACGAAGGGTGCCGGCCGTCGCGGCGAAGAGGTGGCCATTTGGAGACGGATATAGTCGGAGCGTCGCACAGTTTTTGTGTGAGCTTGGTTTCGGTCGGCTTAGTGGAGATACTGCGGGCTCTATCACCCGTGGTATAGCGAGCACGTGAATAGAATCCCCAGCTCTCCGGGAATAGAGGTCCTTTGTGTCGTCTGACGTGGTGTTACAGCTGAGCTCATGTTCCGATGGTCGGGTTCGTTATAACTCCCCTTCCTAGGTTGTCGAGACGAGGCATTGTCTCGTCTCCCGCCTGTACCATTCCATGATCCACATTCCTCGCTTTGCTTCTTGTATGCCAATCCGTTTAATCACATTCCAACCCATATCGTCCCGTTTCGTCTCCCACCCCGTCCCTCCCCGGGTCACTCAGTGCCGTGTGGACTCCGGCCGCCTCCCACGGACTCCCACTGTGGACTTACGGACTCCCACCGTGGACGCACGGCACTGGCCCGCCTCCGGCACCCTAATTGTTCCCGCAGGCGTAGACCTGCCTCGCTGAGACTGCTCCGGCGCACCCACCACGAAAGCGGCGCGCCCGGGGCACTGGAACAGACCCGGTCAGGCAGGGTAGTGATCTCACATAAAGCCAAGCGGCTGTAAACTCTGAGCCTTTCGGAGGGTGGTAATTATCATTCTAATCACCGCGGTCCCATGAGGATTACCGGGCTTCTGTCCGGGCCTAATATCGGACTGAGCTATTGTGACGTCGGGCTAGAAAGGCGGAAAGTCCCAGGTTAGCGTATTGGATCGCCACTGCCGAGCTCTGCTTATTTCAGTCTGGGTCTGTCGGTACACGGGGTCATCACGCTGTCCTTTTAGATAGGGGGCGGCGGAAGCTGATGATGCGATAATCTGGCCGCTAGATGGCAGTAGAAGTGAACGCCTGAAGATAGACTGTGCCGCACAGCGTGGCAACCAATCGGCGTTATAATCGGCGCTGGCCGTTGTGAAGACTGAAGAGTGGGCGTTAACTTGAGTAAATATCAAATCATCTCATCAAACGACGAGGATGCCTATCAACTCTTAAGACAAAAGCTACTGGACGTTGGATAGTGTACCTAATGTTCGTAGTTGGCCTCATACCGCTGGTTTGTGGTGTTACTCCTTGGACCAGCTTTGTGAGGCTCATAATCTGCCATCCGCGATGGTTTAGCTCAGAAACAACTATCCAATCTTGCCTGCACGGGCCCAGCTGACCTTGGCTTGACCGGGTGGGCATTTTCCTAGCCGCAATCTCGGAGATGAAGCCGTCTCGCGGCGCCGGCTCAACCATCGACCCTGCCCCGGTGGTGCCGAGCCATGACCCAGCGGGGCCGGCCGGCATGAGCAGAGATTGAAGTAACCCTGTGTAGAATGACGGACATTTGACCAAATCACGGTCAATTTCAATTTGGTGCTGTAGCTACAGCCATGCAGACGGGTTGAGGTCCCCGTAAACCGAAGAAAACAGTCGCTGCTTCGACACTGTCGTAAGAACTACCTCCGTGGTATTCAGCTACCACCGGTCCCATTACCGTCTGGGTGTTCATCTCTGGGGCGGCGTGGCGGCGCCGGTCGGACGATCAGGCTGGGCAGTAAAACTCGGCGGAGCGGCTCCTGGTGGCACCTAACGGGCCGCCCCCCGGGCTGCGGGACACGGGACGCCAGCTCGGGGAGGTGTGAGGCGTGACGAACCCACCACAGACGGAGGGGGGACGCCACACACCAGCAGAGAGGCGCTACAGACGCCCAAAACAATAGACGGAAACGCGGCACCTAACGTTGTGGCCAAGATATTAATTCTGCATGTTCGTCTTTGTTGCTCTGTGTGAGAGTACGTTTTTGGTTTCTACTTCAGACGATCTATATTCCGAGGCTATCGGCTGTGACTCCGACGATAGGTCAGTTTCCAACTGTATCTAGGAATAGCTCCTAGGAAGAGCATCTGTAATGGTTCAGCGAACTATAACCGCGCGCCCAGTCTCTGGAACAGATGCCTGAAGAAGATACTGGGCCTTCATGGGCGATTACCCTCGAACCTCGGTACGGCTCAGTGCTCAGAAACAATGCCGTGTCGATGGGCTGAGCTGGGCTCGGCTGGGCATGCCGGGCGAGCCTGTCTGACTGGTTCCCGACTCCCGTTCTCTGTTGGATTCCTGTTCCCTCCCTGTCTCTTGTGGCGTCCTGGTGGATTGTCTTAGATCCTGTGTTTTGCCCGGGTTATGTGTTCTGATTCTATGGCGTCTTGTCCGATGCATTCAGGGTAGGACAAGACGCCTCCTAAACCCCTTCCGCTGCAGTAAACTCGGCACCCTTGGCTAGACCTTCAGGATCGGCTCGGCTCGGACCTGGTCGTACTGGTTCTGGTGATGTCTTTTCGCTACCCACTGCCAAGGAGCGGCGGCGCCTCATTTAGCTCGCTGGTTAGGAGTGCCGCCGCCTTCCATCAGTGCCAGCTCGTTCACCACTCCCCAATCCTCGCTTTGTGTCGCCTGTCGGACCGCGTGGGATGCCGCGACCGCTGTTATGTCTGGTTGGGCCGGGCCCGTGTCGAGTGTGGGCGTGGTGGGGGCGGCGGGGCCCGGCAGAATCGGCCGGTCATTGCTGGGACTTGGTAACCGATTACCGTGTGCCACACCGTTCGCTGCCACATCGTGACTCAGCTATCGTAACCAGGCCATCGTAAAAGTCCGACGTTCTCTTTCGTTTTTTTTTCTTTCCTCTCCCTCCTCCTTCGTCCTTATAGCATTGTCTATAGGTATATTTTTATTTATTCCACAACCAGCACAGCTGCACCAGCTCGAGTTTTCGTTTTCTTTTCTTCTTTTTCTCTCGCGCCTTTGAAGTGTCGGTCATTTGGCACGATTGATGAGCCTGATTGGTATTGCCGGCCGTTTGATGCCGGAGGTCAGTTTGTATTGCAATGCCAGACACGTTTGTGTCGAGGTTAAATGCCGTAAATATGATGCTGCTGGAGCTGTGTTTCCTTAATGAGCTGTGGAGGGCACCGTTCCATGAACTCGGCGGAGCGATGAGATTGTATGACTCAGGCATCAGCAAGGTCAAAGCTCAGTGAAGAGCAGTAAGTGGTGGAACGTGACACTTCCGTGATCCCTGTGAGAGTACGATGAGACTCGTTTTGATCACGGATTTAGCGTGCTAGTGTTTGGCCAAGGATGGACGGTAGGTGGGCCTTTTGTTAACCTAGTCGCACTGTGACCTGCATTGGAACTGTGAGACATCGGGAGAGCGTAATGTGTGACTCATGTGATTTGCACTGGTGACCCAGCTCGCTCCATTTTCCGTTATCATTCAGTTTGACTGTCTGAGTTCCGTCTACTCCGATCCTACTGGACCAAATGCACCTCACCGTAGCCCGAATCAGTTTGACCCCAACTAGCCTCCAGCACACCTGACCCCACTCTGACCTCCCGTCTTTAGGTTACACGACTCCACTCCGACCTCCCGTCTCTTGTACAGCTGACCCACTCTGACCTCTCGTCTCCAGCAAACTCGACCCCACTCTGACCCCTCGTCTCTCCCTCTCTGCCCGCAGACTCCCCGTCACGTCGCTCCTCAGTGGACCGGACTGCTCGGCCGATGCAGCTGCCCTCCGGCTCCTCAGCTGCCGGCGGGGGCGACCGCAAGCCGTCGCCGCCGACGACGAACACGGAGCGACACTCAGCTGCCGCCGGTGACGGCGGAGACAGCACAGAGTCGCCGCTGGCGTTCACGGTTGATTTCGGACCGGCCGATAAGCGACTGCATGTGAAGGACAGTATCAGTCGGTGGGCGCCGCGCTCGAGACGCTCTGCCGCCGGCAAGGACGAAAGAGAGGAGGTGAGGAAGGAGAGAGGGGAGAGGAGGCCTTATTTGGACCGGTGTGGGAGTGGGGGTGGGGGGGGGGGGAGCTGGTGAGGTAGGACGGCCGAGGACGAGATTGGTGAGAGATTTGGGTGGATTGTGGCAAAAAGCACGTGGAGATGGCGGGAGATTGCTATATGTGGACTTAGAGGGTAAAGGTAGGAGGTCGGGTGAACACTGAACAGTGAACAGCTTGAGAAAAAGAAATACGTTCTTATTCAGGGGATAAAGAGAGTCTGGAGATGAAGATATGTCAGGAGAGGCAGAAGAGGGCGGAGTATCCCCGCGTCTGGAGATGCTGGAGATCGAATGAAATGTCGAGAGATGTTAGGAGATGTCTGGAGATTGTGGAGTTGCCGTGGCTGTGATGAGGAAGTGGCGGGTCGGCCGCCTTGAGCGACCTTCTCCAGTCTGGGGCCGGCCGTGTCTGGCATATTGAGGTGCTGTGCGCTGAAGCACATGCCCAGCTTACCGCAGTAGTAGCCGGGCTGCTGTTTTCGTCTGCTCGATATTTTCGCGTAGAGACTCACTTCTGTGACAGGCTGGATGAGTCTAAGCTCAGGTTTGGGAACTTTACAGAAGTGATTTCTGACGGACTCTGTACAAATGTAAGAGACCCAAGGACGGAAAAGATCACTAACTACAGCTTATGTGGAAGAAGGTGCAAACAATGAAAAGACGTCCCGGGTTGCCGCCCACGTGGACGTCTATGATCTTAACGGTGCCTCGTCCAGGGGCGTAGGCAGGGGGGGGGCCACTGGGCCATGGCCCCCCCCCCCTTGGGCGCCGAAGGCGCCCTTTGCGATTGGAGGGCGCCGAAGGCGCCCTCCAATCGCAAATGCAATTGTGATATAATCGAATCGAAAAACAATCGCGACTGGAGGGCGCCCTCCAATCGCGAATGTGTTTACAGGGAAAATACGGATGGAGGGCGCCCTCGGAGGACGCCCATTCCAAATACGCCCTCCAAATACGGTTGGAGGGCTCCCTCGGGCGCCCTCCAACCACATTTGTAGGCTGTAGCTCTCTAAGCGTAACGGTGGTCGCCTATGTAAGCCGCTGTCCTGTAAATAAGCGCCCTCTCACCCGAAAGCGCCCTCCTGTAGGTCGCCACCCTGCTACACATTGCCGCCCTTCTGCTGATCGGCGTCCTCATAATTATTGGCGCTCTTCTACCTATTGCGCCCTCATGTGAAATTTTGAAGGCCGCCTTTCTTCCTTTTGGCACCCTCTTGTTCAGTGCCGCCCTCCTACCTATTGGTTCCCTAGTCCTTCCTGTTGAATGCTAATCGGGGCCCTTCTCCTATTGGCGCCCTCGTGTTGATCGCCGCCCTCCTAACCACTGGCACCCTCCTGTTGATCACCGCCCTCCTATCTACTGGCACCTTCCTGTTGACCAGCGCCCTCCGCACAGACGCCCTCCTGTTCGTGTCATCCTCTTGAGCAAAGGCGCCCTCCTGACCATTGCCACCCCCATTTTAATCGTCACCCTTCCGCTCATTGGCGACTTGCAGTTGATGACCGCCCTCCCACCTATTGGCGACCTCTTGTTGATCGCCACCCTCCTATTGGTGCTCTCCTGTTCCTCGCCACCCTCTTACCTGGTGGCGCCCTCCTGTTGATTGTTGATCGGGGCCCTCCTACCTATTGGTGCCCTCCTGTTGATCGCTGCCCTTCTATCCATTGGCGCCCTCCTGCTGCTCGCCAACTTCCTACCTATCGGTGCCCTACTGTCGAAACTCGGGATGTTGATCGGGGCTCTTCTACCTATTAGCGCCCTCCTGTGGATCGCAGCCCTTCTACCTATTGGCAACATCCGTTGATCGCTGCCCTCCTATCATTTATTTACTCCTTTGGCATGTTCTTCAACTTAGTCGTTCTATTGCACATAGTTGATGTCTTGCCTGTGAAAACTGCCACAAATGAACGTGCATTCAGCACAATGAATGAAGTACCTATACCTACCAAAACTATCTACGCTCTACGATGCATAAAACACGTCTTTGGTCTTAACGGATTGATCCTACTTTACGTGCATCATGGCATCTACCGGGTGTCCCAAAAGTAAGGTCATGATTTAAAACTTAAATATCTCGTGAAGTAAGAGTCCGAATCACTTCCAATTTTAACACGTGCAAGGTACATCCATAAAATTATTTTCTTGCATGCTTAAACCATTTTTGATCATAACTACACCGAGCAGTAGGCATAAAACTGAGAAGGTCGAAATTCAACTCTTAGAGAGGGTCCGTCATTAAAACAAAGGGTAAATACCGCCCAGTTTTCGGCCCTAAGCAGACCCTATCAGCTCGCCCTATCTCTGAACTCATGCATAGTTTCGCCTCAACCGGTAAAACGTCAGAAAAAAGGTATAATGTACGCACAGGGCATGTATACTTAGCCACCTGTGCTTCGAGGTCCTGAGGACGACAGCGGGAATCGGGTGACAAGAGAGGTGGCCGAGAGTCCTCCCAGTGGTTCTTCCGCTCGTCGCAACGCAGCTGTGCCGACACCATCAGCCAGCAGTGGTTTCAGCAGGATGGAGACTATGCTTGCACCGTCCTGAAGATCATGCATTGTCTCCGAGAGTGGATGTGAGATCCCGTAACTTTCAGTCAGGGCAACGCCATTGAATGGCCTCCGCGGTCACCTGACGTTACACCTTCATATTTTTATTCTCTGGATACACAACAGAAAGATTGTCTTTTAGGACAACCCAACGAGCCGGGAAGAACTAAAGGATGATCTCTTCGAGCAAACATAGGCGGCATCTCACCAGAGAATCGCTCCAGAATAGTGGAGGAAGTCAAACGTAGTCAATTCATGCACGCGGCCCGAAATGGTAGCCATGTAGAAAAGCAGCAAATGTGGGGCTACGAGCCAATGTATTGACTCATATGTACGTCAGAATAAAATTTTATAAAATGCTCTCTCATATGATGTCCTATTTACATCTATCCATCGCGTATTTTTGGCAGTGTGGCCAAAACAAATGATGACCTTACTTTTGGGACACCCGGTATATGTATTACGATTAAGTATTGTCAACAGGTTCGGCCGCAACAGCAGGCATCTGAAGTTTCGGTGATTGAAACTGGTTGTGTGGGTACACTGTATGCACCTGTGAGAAGGCTATGAAGGCTGGTCTGAGGTAATTTGGATGATGTTTACGCATCTCGCGCTCCGGTATCAATCCGATACGGTGATCTGGTGCGTAGATATGCCACCGCCAATAAACTTTTATACATCGACACCCATGAGCCAAGCTTTCTATACAGTTTGTGTGGCAGCGGCCCGACCAAACCTTAGGTATTTTTATACCTTCAAATTTGGTAAAAGAGCGAGAGGAGCTTTGAACAGTGATCGTATAAAAGGCGTGCCTAAAAAGCGGAGGAAAAGGTTGTTTTCAAAAATTTCGCGCGCCTTCGGCGCAGCATTTCAAGACCACTTGACCTTTTGTGACCTGGAGTATAAAGAATACACACGATGCAAAATCAATGCAGCACGACCTATACGAGGTTACGCAAAAAAAAACTGGTGGCATGGTAAAAAAACGCCTCCCAACCCCCCCCCCCCCCCCCGTTGAGTGATTTTTTATCTCGCGACCGTATGGCGCCCTCCTTGGGTGAGGTGGCGCCCTCCAAACCCTTGGCCCCCCCCTTCGCGATTTTCTAAATACGCCGCTGGCCTCGTCGGTGCTCCCCGACTTCTATCTATCGCTGTTTTTGGGCTCTGTCCAGCCAGTCCAGTCCGATTACGGCTCGTGCAGGGGCGGCACAGTTAGTTTGAGGAAGGAAAACGAGTAGCGGAACGCCCATGCCGATAATCCTTTTCGATGGGGAATGTCACCTTGGTAGGGTTTTAATCAGGTGTTTTATGTTTGTCATCTGTTGCTATCCGACTGAATCGTGTGGCTCCGGGGAGGGTTGGAAGAAAAGGTGCATGAAATGGCCGTTCCTTGGCCGTAAAATCTGCGCGTCGAAGTCGTGCAGTCGGCCGTTAAAGGGACCCTCCCACCTTCAAAAAAGTTAATGAATTGGCACGAAAGTTATGTCGCTCGGTTCAGAAAGAGCGAAAACGAATATCTACCAAATTTCATCGAAAAATATTCACCGGTTTTCAAGATATTAGACTTTTACTTTTGTTTACTTTTTGGGATCTCCGCTGTTCCTAGCGACTTTATTTGAAAGTGCGGCATTTGTTGCGCGCAAAGCAGCATATACCACCGCGTGCTACCAAACGTTTTAGTAAAAGATTTAAAAATCGTTAGATCTCCGCTGACGTCACAAATTCTAAGGGGGCATACCAATGCACTAGCCCCTTAGAATCCGAAAACTGCAAGTTTGAAATTCCATATCTCCGAATTAAAGCATTTGTCGATGTTGTGAGTGCCCAAACCGGTATTTGCAGGCCATGGCCACCAATTTGGCTATCTCAACTCAAAACTAATGTTAAGGTGGGAGTGTCCCTTTAACCTGGCAGCGACCACCGCCAACCAGCCATCCTTTACTGCTCGCGGCGGGAGTGGCCGAGCGTGCGTTTCAAAGCCGTAAATCTCAGCTGGGATCGAGTTTCTGCCGGCCGCGGCCACCGCCGGCCTCTGGGCGATTTCAGGCTAGTGGGATGGTCAGCTCTAGTAAGCTCCCAGCTCAACGCTGCAGCCAGCTCTTGCAGCCGAATTCCCTATTCACCTTCTAGTTCCGCCACCGGTTCGCAGTCACAGTCCAGCTTCAGTCAGCTTCCACTTTCCAGTTTTATTTTCGTCTGTAGTCGGCTTCTAGCTCCAGGCTCCAGCTAGCTTTCAGTTCCAACATTGTCTAATTGTTGCCGGGACCTTGTCCGCATTGGCATAGTCTGGTTTTGTCGGGCTCCTGTCACGGTAACGTGCTACATGTGGAGCACTGTTCGTGGTACACGCGGTAACTAGGATTCTCACTCCCCTCATACCAGCCTGGGTGCTCCCGTACTAGCACCGC